GCGGCACCTTTTTTTGAATTTTCTTCCTTTTCAACGCCGTTTTTCGGGAATTTCGGATTTTCTTTGAATTTTTTCGCAATAATATTTGAAAAATAGATAAATGTTAACACATGTTAATGCAATAAAAATTTCTGGCCGGAGTCTCCCTTTCATATAATATCCAAAGTATTTTGTTTGTTGAGCACTTTTTGATATCTTCTACAGGAACCTAGATAAATTGGTTCACATTTCTTGCCTAAAAAATGTTATTGAGACCAATTCAAAAATTCGACCTTGATTTTGTTCTAACTCTGTTCCGAAGCTCCTGAAATTTTTCTTTTCTGCCATTTCCTATGTCACACCCTTATTTTTATTTTTCCAGACTCCCGGTCTCACGTAACCTATTCATTCACATTTTCCCAGCGTTTTCATGGTTACCATTTTTTCGAAATTTTTCTTCCAGTTTTTTCACATCTCGTGATAACCCGTTTCCGGTGTTTCTTCCTCTCTGAAAAGTCAAAAATCTTCAGAAAAATAAAAAAAAATGGAGCCGAAACAAGAAGGTACAAATCCAATCCGATGGCCGGAGTACTCGGACTGTCAGTTTGAGGATTGTGCAGAATGTGGTCTTGTTATATTGGGTAAGTTATCAAATACTATATATCATCTAATAGAAGCTTACCCGAACCATCAACTGTGAGCTTACTCATCTCGATTCCCGTGAATAATACAAATATTTTGTCAACTGATAAGTTATTTACAGTACTGGCCAAAAAGGTATTCGCAAACGGTTTTTGAGAGTAACTTTGCTGAAACTTAAGGGATCGATCTGAAAATTTTACTGTGCATGTCGTACATGGTGACGACAAATTGCGTACAAGGAAATTGCATCATTTTCAGAAATTTTTTGTTTTTTTCAATTTTTTCAACTTTTTCGTTTTTTCACTTTTTTCATATTTTTATATTTTTGGATATTATGGTTTCTAAGAATGTTGGTTTTGGCTCCTATGTATTTAAAACTGTTTACAGACATGGCCAGACCCCTCAGAAAAAAAAACATCTCTCANGACATCCGTAAAGCCATCGTCATCGGCTTCAGAAGTGGATGTTCCAAGGACCTCTTGGCGCAGCAGTTCAATGTTACTAAACGTGCCATCGAGAAGATCTTGAAGCAGTTTCGGGATGAGGTAATATTCGAAAATAGTATAGTTATGGAAAAAAATGTTTAGGGAGCCTTGGTGGAGCGAAAATCGCCTGGAAGACCGCGTATCACGTCGAAGAACATGGATCGGAACATCGTCCGAGCTTCAAGAGAGGATCCCCAGAGGAGTTCTACGGACATTCAGATGGTCGTGAAGACTCCAAATGAAGTCACACCATCCCTGAGAACCGTCAGAAGACGTCTTCAAGATGCTGGACTCCATGGACGACGGCCAGCTAAGAAACCATCGATCAGCAAGAAGAACAGAATCGCTCGCGTAGCATGGGCCAGAGCTCATCTCCACTGGGGACGTCAGGATTGGGCTAATCACGTGTTCAGCGACGAATCCAAGTTCAATCTGTTCGGTACTGACGGTATCAAGTGGATTCGCCGTCCGGTTGGATGTCGGTTCGATCCCAGCTACCAGCTCCAAACCGTCAAGCATGGAGGTGGATCGGTGATGGTCTGGGGCTGCTTCTCTGGGACTTCAATCGGCCCGCTGAGAAGAATTACGGGCATCATGGATCGCTTTGTGTATGAAGACATCTTGGAGAACACAATGAGACCCTGGGCACGGTCTACTGTGGGCCGGGCGTTCGTTTTCCAACAGGATAACGACCCGAAGCACACCTCGAAGCACATCAAGGAGTGGTTCCGACGCCGCCACGTGGATCTTCTGTACTGGCCAAGTCAATCTCCGGACTTGAATCCGATCGAACACCTCTGGGAGCATGTCGAGAGACAGCTTAGAGGGATCCGTGCCTCGAATGCCAACCAGAAGTTCGACCAACTCCAAGATGTCTGGCAGGCCATCCCGATGTCTGTCATCGACACTTTTCTCGACTCGATGCCAAGAAGATGTCAGGCGGTAATCGACGCCAAAGGCTTCCCAACGAAGTACTAAAGCTATTTTATTCATTTTCTATTGTTATTTTTCGTTTACCGGTCTATCCTAGATCTCAGAAGTCAAAGTTCCATTTACCGGGTTTTTGCAATTTTCATGAATTTTTCGATTTTTTTTCAATTTTTTGAAATTTTGACTATTCTTGTTGTTGAATCAGTTTCTTTTACCGTTTTAAACTTTGTCTTAAAATATCAGATTGATCCGGGAAGTTTCAGAAAAGTTATGCTCGAAAAACTATTTGCGAATACCTTTTTGGCCAGTACTGTATCATAACATCAACAATATTTTATCAGTTGACAAATTTTGGACATCTCTCACCGAAATTGAGATGATTTAACTCAAAGTTGACGGTTTGTGATACAATTAAAGGGAACATTGTATGAAGCCGTATTCATCGTTATTTACGTATTTTATTATCAGCTCTAACAAAATTATCCGAAAATGTAAAATTTGAAGGAAAATCCTTCAAATTTCGGTAGATGTTCCCCTTTCAAAAAGTAGGAGTACTTATTAATTTTCATTTTTTATATCTAATTTTTAGGGCATTCTATTTTTAAAAAGTATATGCATAATTAGAATTTTAAAAAGTTATTATCTAACTTCGAACCCAAATTGCGTAAATGTTTGATTTTCAATTTTTGAAACAAAGGGCTTAAACGAATTAAACTAGAAAATCAAAGTACTGCGTCAGAAAATTTTCAGTTTTTGGTATTTTAGAAAATTTAGTTCAAAGGTAATTTTCCTAATGTACAAACAGGAAAATCATTAAAAAAAGATTTTCAGTACAATTTTCACGTTTCCTTTGTCTTTTTGAACAAATAAATCGATTTTTTGAGATAAAATAGGCAAATGTTCATGAACACGACCTACGAAGTCACAAATCGTCATCCAACATTTCCAGGTTCAATGTTTACGTGTAATCTCTGCGAAAACCATCATATCTGCGCATCCTGCTACAATGACACAATTGTTGAAGAAAGTATTCATTCCAAGAAATCTCAAGATCTACCTGCCGAGCATCCACACATGCACCATTCCTACCGCCTAGACATGTCTCCATTCGGCAAACGTGAGTTCGCTCAAAAATTTGGTTCTACATGTTTTCTATTCAGTTGCATTTCCGGTGCACGACAATCCATGCGCGAGTTGTGGCTCGAAAGTTTTTCCGGGATTACGCTATGTGTGAGTTGAGATTCATATATCCGGAAATAAGTAATATATACTTTTCAATAAAAAATTTTAGGTGTCCAGAAATCTGTCCGGACTATGGAATTTGCGCGACATGCTTTATTAAAAAGAAAGGAACCGATGAGATAGAATTGTTCGAAGCAGTTCAAGCAAATCCAAAGTTAGAAAAGAAATATCAAATTGGAGCAGCAATTGTAACTCAAAAATATTATGGTATTGGGCTAGCAAGGCTAGACTGGTTTCTAATTGATAAAAATGATGAGGTAAACATTTCATCATTTTGCGTATAACTCCTTTTTTGTTTCTGTTTCAGGAACAAATGAAAAATCTGGGACGTAAAATCGGTTTTGCTGTCTACCAGTATCCTACAAATTTGCCCCAAGAAGAAAGGAACAGTTTGAATCCGGACCAACTGCAAGAACTAATGAGGAATATTGAGATGGAAGCTTCTCGAGAAAATAATAATAATGGGAAGCAAAAGAAAACGTTTGATGCAAAATTCATACCAGAATTTGGATATACTCAAGAGGTATTATATTTTTTGGAAATTCGGAATAATTTTGAGTTTAGCAAGAAGAGCATATCCTCAAACTTCGTGATGAATTGTTTGATATTAATCGAAGACAGAAGAAGTTGAAAGAAGGAGAACCCAGTATTGTGGAGACCAAATTCGTGTTCGTTAGCTTCTTTGCAGATGGGTCGCATTCCAATATTGTGAGTTGAATTCACAAACAATCTAAAATCGATTTCATTCCTTATAGCTCCCACTGATCTGTCTCCGTATCAGTGACACCAAGATAATGTACGTAGAATCCACTGGAAGAGCATATGACGATTGGGATGATTTTCTGAGCAAGAATAAGCTTCCAGAGTGTAACATTCTTTATCCACATGATGGAATTTATGAGGTATCCGTTATTTATCAATACTTTTGCAGATGTTATAAAAAATCTTTATTTTCAGATGGAACCCGGAGGCATTCTCAATTTAAGATATGACATTTCTCGAAGAAGCAAGCTCCCAAGCAAAATTGCAAAGGTAGTGAAGCTACATTAACGGTTGATGAAACATACAAAAAAGTTCATTTTCCGCATTTTCAGGAGTTCGGAGCACGGCTGTCAAGTTTCCGGTCACTTTGAAAATTTCAGAGGATTGGAAACAGGCCTAGATTGAATACATGGTATTCCCAGAATTTGTCGGAAATACCTAGATTTTCGGCTTTCAGCCGATTTCTGAAAGACATCGCTTTTTGCCAGTTTTTGCACTGAAAACGTAAAAAAAGCTTCTTTCAGAAATCGGCAAATCGTGAAGAAACTTTTCGAAAAATTCAGAGAGCGCAAGTTTTTCAATTTTTTCACACCTCTCAAAATTTTCAAAGAGCTCCAGATTTCTGAAAATGCTAATAATCAATTGAAAACTGAATTTCTGTATATTTTATTGACCGGTTTTTGTAAATATTACCTTACTTCAGATAAGTGACCGTAGCGCGATGGGTATTGGAATCGCCGCTACCATTGGATCAGTCATTGGACTCTTTACCCCACTTGCTCCTGTCGCTGCAACAACACTTCTCTACACTGCTATTGGCACTGGTGTCTACACAATGGCTAGATCTGGATATCACATTGTGGATAGAGCAACACATAATGAAAATGTCAATCCGTTAAGAAGTCGTGAGAATTTCGTCGACTGGTTGGCAGTCGCAGCTTCATTGGCTTCGTTTGGAGCTATCGGAGGATCAGCGGTAAGTATTCAATTCATCAGTTTTGAAGTCATTTAGCATTTTCTGCATACATGAGAAATCAGGATCCAGTCTGTGCTCCGGTGTTACAAATTTTGAAAAATTCTGAAAATTAAAAAAAAATTATTTTGTGGAAAATTATATGTCGACGACATTTCATTCTTCGCGAAATTGTTAATTGCCCGAAATTTTGTTTACTTTTCTGAATTGTCTCCGAAAATGTTGTTTGAAGATTGGAAAATTTCACTGAAAACCAGGGCAGAGAAAATTCTGAAAAAATCTTGGTCGGTTGCTTAATTTAAACAAATAATAATTCAGTACCTAACTGTGATGGCGACCCAAGGAATCGAAGTTAGTCAAGCGATCGAATACACTGTCAATGCTGCAATTTTCGCAAATTTTGCGGTATCTGGAATCGCTTTGACTGCTTCTGGATACAACATTTTTGAGAAGGTTAGCCGGATTCAAGGGATTTTAGATAATTCCTATCATTCCAGGTCGCCAATGGTGAGCGTCCAACCCCACTGGAGCTTTTCCAGTTCTCCACCAGTTTGCTGTTCTTCACAAATGCCGCAGTTAACCTTCAAACTGCTGAAAAACTTATTCAACAGGTAAAATAATCATTTTTCTAATTCTTGCAAAGAAGTAAGATGGTAGTTAATAAAATTAAATTAAAATCAATTTAATAATATTATGAGCAGAGAATTTTCAGACAACACAAGAAAAGATTAACGAATATCGTGATACCTTGAAAACTGCTGAAGATAAGCAACAGTTTGACCATACCATCAACGAGAACATGAAAAAGACAGAAGGTCAACCTGGAAGTAAGTGGGACTAGCATCAGTATCTAGCTGAAATTCTGCAAGTTTCAGATTCCAAGCTAAAAGCCAATTTGGAAACTATAAAAGATATTCACAAAGCGATGTTAGCTGACAAACACGTGGAAGCTCATATTCGTAAGTTGAAACTTCAAAAAAAAAAGAATAAACTTTTTCCATTTCCCAGATGAGCACGAACTTCCCAAAAAATCAAAACCCATGCCTTCTTCAAGTGTTCCGAAGATGCAAGCCAAGCAGTTAACAGTATCTGACAAAAAGATTGTGGAGGAACATTTGCAAGCTCTCGATGCAAGAGGACAGTCTAAACTGCCAGCTAGCAAACAGAAAATGACAACATACTTAAACGTTGGTTGGGATGATATTGCTGCCAAAGTCAAAGCAGTGCTGTCCGGAAGTGCTGGTGGTGCAATGTAAGTTTTCAAAAAAACGATTTATTCGAAAAATGTATTGGTTTTAGAACTGAAAAACTGATCGACGGAAAGACTAAGAAAACTGTTACAATTGATAATGGAGATGAAGGATTCATGGGAGCCAAAGTGGAGTCTATCCCTAATGGAGTTGCTATTCGGAAAGGAGTCATTGATCGAATTGAAATCACTCTCAATGATTTTGGAGAGCCCATTCCTCATTTTGTTGAAGGAACAATCCGGTCGGGAACTGAACAGAGTGTAAGGAATAATAAAAACCAATTTAAGCTCGCATTTATATTTCAGGTGGTCCGCATCAGATTGGAAAACCGTGGCGCTCTTGGAAACATCCGTGCCAAACCAAAAGTGCGAATGTATAAAGAAAACTCATCGAAAGGAGTGGAAATCGATGATCAGGAACTATCAGAGAACTATTTCATGTGCTACGATTGGTCATAATTTGTGATAATTCTTTTTTTTCTGTACATGTTTTTGCTTGAAAATCGTGTGATAATGACCGCCTACTGTGTAGATTGCATGCATAAATATCTTTTCATAATGTCTACGAATTTTTTTTCGGAAAACATGACTATAGTATTCTTCAAGTTTTCAAATATAGAACTGTTTTTTAAACACTTTTCACGCATTTATTGTTTACTTACAAGGGAAGCCTCCCAAGTGTTACACTGAGATTTCGATGAAATCTATGCCAAATAGTAGTACACAGGCAACCTAAATCAATCACAAAATAATAGCTGCCCGTCGGTACCATTCGAGAAACTTTAACTTTGTTCATTTTGAAAGGAAAATAAGGAAAGTAGAAAATATGAAATTTTCCAGTTCCATCAAATTCAAAAAATGCCAATTTTCGAAAAAAAAGTGCTTGGGGGACCATGTCCATCAGATTTCTCAAAGCAAGTAATGTATGTGTGTTCAAATATAGGTCGAGCCCTTGAGTTACGAGACTTATTTCAATTTTTCCAAAAAAAAACGTTAAATTCATGTACTTCATGAAATTTTTTTGAAATTTTTTTTGATTCTCGAATGCTTTCATTTTTAGTTACTAAACTTCATTTTGTTCCTTCTTTTCAGTTTAACTTATTGAATATAGTTTTTAAAAACTTTTATTTTTCAAAAAATTTCATGAATAGGGGTACATAAATTTAACGTTTTTTTTTTGGAAAAAAATGAAATACGTCTCGTAACTCAAGGGCTCGACCTTTATTTTTTTTACACATACATTACTTGCCCTGAGAAATCTGATGGACATGGTCCCCCGAGCACTTTTTTTCAAACATTGGCATTATTAAAATTCGGTGGAACTGGAAAATTTCATATTTTCTACTTTCCTGATTTTCCATTCGAAGATAGAGCATAGCTGCAAATGAAAATAAAGCTTACCAATTTGTTACCTTTCGAATAAAAAATAGTTTGAACGTCTACCACAAAAATGAACAATGTTATGGTCTCTCGAATGTTACCGACTCCGAACTCACGAAAAATCATAAAACCACTCGTCATTTGAACAGACCTTCAAACGAGCCGCTATGATTTCGTAATTGATTTAGTTAGCCTGTGTACTACTATTTTGCATAGGTTTCATCGAAATCCCAGGGTAACACTTGGGAGGATTCCCTCGTTACACTGAAAACCGAAAAAACAAACAAAAATACTGTATCAGCTCAAAACCTGACTTCAAGATCCAAACGATCCACCATTACTGTGTTGTTTCAAACTCTTTGAAGTCGTCCAATGGTATTGATCACGGTCTGAAAGCAGAAGTTGGCAAGTGGACGAGTCCGAGGTGCCTTGGCAGGGTTGCAATCTGACGGGCTGGCCGGCCCGAGGGAAAAAAACCAGGGCCCGGCCCGGCCCGGCCGGCCGGCAATTAATTAATATTTTTTCTGAAATTTTTTTTTTTTCTGAAACTTTCAGGCCCGTGATCTTGTCACAAAGTTAATGCCGTCAGCTATTCCCTCCACTACTCAACCCACCTCATCGCAGAAGTCAAATCTAATTGCAAAGTTATATCATTCGGTCAGTGACCAAGCGAACTCAACATCCACTTCTTCGGAAATCTCAAGATATCTCTCCGAGTACTACGATCCTTCAACAAACGAATCGGTTGAGGAGTATTGGAAAAGAAAAAGATTCGAATACCCCGGACTGTACCCAGCAGCACTTTTCGTTTTTTCGATTGTTCCCAGTGAAGCCATGTGTGAGACTACGTTCAGCACTGCGTCGTTTTTGTTAGATAAAACAAGAACAAGATTACTGTACTAGCGTGTGGAGATGGTCGTTCTGGGTTCGCAAATAGCCACGAAATTTCCACACTGGCTCGACTGATTCTCTCACTAATTGTAGTGATTTTTCTGGTTAATTTTATGTTACTTTTCTATCTTTTTTGTTGGATTGGTTGATATGAGCTTTAATTTTCTCCCCCGGTTTCCATTTCTTTGTTTCCCCTTGTTCATTTATACGGTTTTTACATTGTTATGCTACTTGTTAAGAAATAAATTCAAATAATTCTTCAATAATTTCTGTTTTTTCTTAAATTCGAACGGGCCGAACCGGCCTGACCGGCCGGGCCGGGCTGGCCGGGGC